CCGCCTTTAGCACCAAGAAAGGTTGCAAGTAACGCAGGGATGAGCTCTGTATGTCGCCACTCACTCTCCAGACTCGAATGCCAGGGACAGCTGGTGTTTTGCTGAAGAGAAATCACAGCTTGCAACGGGCGCCAGGCTCTAGTTCCTCGGTGCGTTGTTCCCACTCTGCTTCATGTGCTGACTCAGGGCTCCCCACGTTTCCAAGTCTGAATGAGCAACTGGGGAATCCTCCTCCACGTGGCACATTCTGCCAGCATTGGGAGTCACATGGAGGAAGCACAGCACTGTGTTTGTAATGGGGATAATATTTTGAAAATAATAACTGCATTTTTTTTTTATTCCTCTCCAGGAAACAGCATGCCTCAGTCTGTGCTGTGGATGGTCGGGGCAGGAGGAGGCCAGGCTGCGGGGAAAGTTCTGGTCGGACAGGATGAGAGAGTGGAGAGCCTGCCTCTTCTGGACCCTAGTGGATTGCCAGCCAAAGGAAGAGGGAGAGAAAGCGGGGAAGGCTGGGGGGCCAGGGTGTATGTCTGTCTTTCCTCAAGAAGTTACAGAGCTGCAGACATGCCTCTAGGAGTCCTGGAAGTGCCCACAGCCCTTCTTTGGCCCATGGGTGTGATCAGAGAGCCAGAGTCCCCAAGGGTCGGGGGCTAAGAAGATTAGACACATCAGAAGAACATTTACAGCATAAGCACCAGGGTAGGGGTCAGCTAGTAATGCCAAGGGCTAGAAGAGCGAGGGTTAGCCTGCTCGGCTCAAGGAGCAGCCAGGGCAGCCCTTCTGCAGCAGAGAAGAGAGCACCAAGGAAAGCCGTCTGGCCAGCTTCTATGTGTCAGTGACTGCCATTGCCTGCTCAGTGGTCCGGCTTGGTGCCTTCTAGAGGAGAGTGGCCTTTGGAATGATGCCACAGTGTCTAGCCACAGGAAACTGAGATGACTGAATGGCACTAGTGAAGTAAGAGGACAAGATATCACTAAGTGTAAGTTCAGGCTTCACAACACCCAATTGTGTGCTGCAGGCCTTTGTATGAAATAAAATGCTCTCTTTTTTTAATATCCATGTGTACTGTGTTCAATTTGTGAGCCACTGTATGCCAGTTAATTTAACAAATCTTTTCTAGAGTGAGGCATGTTAGGATGTTTGGAGGGCTTGAGATTTGGTAAGGAGTAAGACCCCAACTCAGAGAAGGTCTCCTGTTCCCACATGCCGTGTCTTCTAACAGGGGCAGAGCAGAAAACTTGGGCACAAACCAGAAATTATTCATAAGTGAGCAGGCAGCATTACCGTATTGAAACTCGACTAAGGTGACAGAATAAAGAGAAACTAGGAGCGGTGGGAGAAAGTCACGAGCGATGAGAGGAAGAGCTTGTTCTCCCATAGAGATGAGAAAACTGAGGCTCTGAGGGCCTGGCCAGAGCTTTAGATGAAGCTTCTAGTGGCTGGGATGGCTATAGGCTCTGTCCCTCTCCCAAGGTCTGGAAAAGCAGTTCTGTGGGGGCGTTGGGGTGGGGGTGGGGGCCCTTTGAAATACGAGAACCCATCTGAGTTGGGAGAATTGGAACTTGTGGCCATACAGACTTGGATCTCAACTGCAGCTCTGCTTCTCCTTGCTGTCTTTCTAAACCCTGGCAGCCCCTTAATGTCTCCAAAGCTTCGTTTACCCTCTGTAAAAAAAAACAGGGGGGATGTCTCTTAGGCTTAAAGGGGAGGGTTCAAACTGAGATATAGAAGTGTTGGAAAGCCAACCTTGGGTACCCGTAGCCTCCATACTCATCACCCGCTGTGTGTGACTTGAGGAACCATTGTCACCACCAACTCGCTCCTACAGCATGCAAGCCTGTCCTCTCCCCTGTGTCCCCAGGACACAGCATGGGTCTGAGTGGTTCAAGAGTCTCGAGGGGCTTACAGGGTCATGTGGCATGGGATACCCATGTGAGGTCATACCCACATACCCACAGGGGGGGAGAAAGAGTGAGAACTACACACGGACTAAAGGGGGATGTAACTGGCTCTGTGTACGCTGCATGGGTGCTCTGTCTGAGGAGGAGGTAGCCCCTGGAAGGGCCCTGGATGGCAGGGAGGGGCAAGCAGACAGGAATCAGGGATGGCAAGGACCGAACAAGGAGTGGGAGCAGTGTGCAACAGAGACATGCAGATGAGAAATGAGCTTGTGTTTGAATGTGCATATGTGCAGGTCAGGGCTAGTTGGTTCTGTGATGTCCCGGAGTGGAAGGGGAACTGTATCCAGATAGGGGTAGGAGTGAGTGGTGAGCGCGGGGGAGCAGGGTCCAGAGCAGAAAGACTGAAGAGCAAGGCCCTGAAAGAGGTCCCAGTGGCCATTGGCAGGTGGGCAAACAGTAGATGGAGGAAAAATTGCAGTCAGGGCCGGCGGCTGGAAAAAGGGACCTGAAATGGAGTGGGTGGCTGGAAGGGAGGAGCCAGGAGAGTAGATGTGGGTTTGAAGGGCAGCCTGAAAGACTGAGGCATATTTCAGTAGCCAAGGACCTCTGAGGGGTCCAGCTGGGGACCTCAGGTGAGCAAAGCTGGACCTGTATTCAGCATGGCACCTGGGCACTAGCAGAGTCCCTTTCTTGGGAAGGGAGGGAGTGAAGAAAGAAGGAGCTGGAGAGCCTAGCAGTCAGAGATGTCAGGGCTTGGCAAGCGCCCCACCCTAAGACCGGAGAGAAGGGGTGGGGCTGTCTGGCTGTAATGGGATGGACACAGCATTACAGGTGGCCCGTCAAGAGAATTGTCAGATACAGCAACTGGGCGGGACTGGCTTCCAGGAGCCACACATTTGAGTGTGACTCTGTAGGGAAGGAAGGTGGAAGAGGGGCTTGCTATGGCTGCTCCCATGGACCAAAGGCTGGTTTTCTGTGTCTTCTGCCACTGCCAGGCCAGGTACCCTGTGGGCGCCACTGTGCATCATGCCTGCTGGCGGCAGCAGGGGCCCCTTCACAGGGCAGGCTATTGTCAGACTGGTCAGAACAGTGTTCTGTGTTGGTCACTGGAGCTGAAACTTGCAACGAAGACCCCAGAGGAGAGCTAGGGTGGGGGCAGGACACGGGAGGGGGAGCACGGGGAGGTGCCACTGCTCTGTGTTGACATCCTGTCCCCTCTACACTCTTCCAGTCTGGCCTTGAAGCCCTTTTCTGTGCACAGATGGACAGAGCCTTACACACAGGCTGGCTCTTGTCTGTCTTGTCCTCTCCTGGCCCCAGGCTTGCTGCTCTGGTGCTCTGGCTGGGGTCCACAGGGGTGTGTATGAGGCTTGAGGTGTTCCGTGCTCAACAGCACCAGCGTGGAGGAGTCAGGTCAAAAGCCTGGGTGGTGTAGGGGCTTTTATGGCCTGCGACAGTGGCAGTAGCTGTAACGATGGCTCTTCCGCTGTGCACCTGCTTGTGAATGGGAAGTCCTATAGCTGGCAGCTTATCAGGCCCCAGTGACATTGGAAAGGTACTGAGCAAATATCTCTGGCTCTGAAGGATTCTCCACAACTCCTCTCATTTCCCTGGGGCCTTGGGATACAGATCCTCGCCGAAGCTCCTGCAGACATCTGGCTAAGAGATACCCACCAATAGTTCAGGACATGGAGGGCTCTTTTGTCCACCCTCACTGAAGTAGCTGAGACATTGGGAACCTGGTGGGCATAGGAAAAAGCAGTTGTATCTCAATTATGGGGAGACAGTCTATGTTGGGGTCCCTTCAGTCATTAGCAGAGGCCAGTGCTGAAGGTTTAGGTCCCAAGCCCAGCCTATCCTTGTTGGTTGGTCTCTGTGTGACCTTGACCATCAGAGTCCCCTTTTTGATCCACCTTTTTACCCTAAAGATGAGGACAATGGCTTTCTCTCTCCCAACATCCCTCCTGGACCCCACTGGCCCCAAAAAAAGATGGAAGTTTGGGGAAGTTTTTTTGGTGGGGTCTGGATTTGTGTACAGCCCTCAGTGGCTCCTGCCCTGTGTCCTCTAGACCCAGGTCAGTCTGGAGTGGACCTGCTCTCCCTGTGGCCCCTCTGTTGGAGCACATGTCAGGACCAGAAAGTGGGTGTTGGTATCCAGGAAGGGATGATGTTCTAGGACACTGGCCACAGGCCCAACCCCACTTCTCCAGCATGGCCAGAAGATCCTCAGTGCCTGGATACCCACACCAGGGTCAGACCATTCTCCTGGAGCCTTCTCAGTGCCAGCCCTGGGAGCCCCGCGTCTGAACTAGTTCTGCCCAGGTAAATGGAAAGGCCTGTGGCTCTAGTCTCTCTTTAGATAAGTGTGGTAAGTGAGAGGATGAGGGGCAGGACTGGCCTTAGAGGTCCCAGCCCTGGGGATGGAGACAGGGAACTTCATTAACAGGATTTGCTGCTCTTATAGAGGACACAGGTTTGGTCTCAGCATCCACATTAGGTAGTTCACAACCATCTATAACCTCAGTTCCAGGGGATCTGATACCCACTTCTGGCTTCCAAGGGCACCAAGCACACGTGTGGTATACACATACATGCAGGCAGACAAAACATTCCTACACACGAAAATAAAGAAATCTACAAAAACAAAACAAAGGAAAACCCATCCATGCGATGTTAGGATAAATCAATGAAGTATCTTCAAAGTGTCCAGCCCTCCCTGGGTTCGCAGGAGCCTGCCTGCTCCTTCTCATCCACGTTCAGGGCCAGGCGCCCACCACAGACAACAGTGACAGGCACCTTTATAAGTATATTTTTATTGACAATAAAAAAAATCCCGATGCTTCCTCCCTTGTAAGGAAGGGGCTGCCGAGTCTTGGCGTGCGCATCTGCCCAGCGAGGCAGAATGCCAGCGGCACAGTCACCTCCCAAACACACGCACTGCTGAGAAGGCAGCTTCAGGGTATTTACATTCATGCACTGCAGGTCGCACACTACCTGGACCATTTAGGTCCTATTTGTACAGCTTGGAGTACAATATTTATATATATATATATTTGTATATATAGATATCTCTTTAAATATATATAACTATGTATAATATGTTTATTTTTACACCTATTATTCTTTCATCCAAAATGTCCTCTAGAAGGCTTGTGGAAACACCTGGTACCTGGGAGATCCTAAGTGCCGCTGAGTTCAGACTTAACCACAGTGGGGACACCTGGGGAAAGGCGCGGACATGGACATTTCGCTGACCTCTGCAGTCAGGCTGCACTGAGAACGGGTCCTGGCGGAGTTGGCGTACAGCCTCTGAAATGAAGTTCTAAGTCCACGCTCTCGGTCGACGCTGATTTTCTGTATGTTTAAACACGAGTGGCTTCTGTTGTGATGGGAGACGCGTTCTCTGAATGGTCAGTTCTGGGCTTGGGAGGCTGTTCTCCAGGGGACCCTTTTCAAACTTTGGGTCTTCCCTTGGCTTCCCCTAACTGAGTACTGGGGCAACCCAAGCCCACTAGAGAACGTTTACCTGCACCATAGCCAAGCGAAGTGGAAACCCTGCTGGCTGACAGCACACACCCACTGTGCACTTCCTGGGTTTCTAAGGTCAGGATGTAGGTGCATGGAAATCTCACACTCTGCCCAGCCCTCCAGGTTCCCTAGCAGGAAGCTCCCTTCCTCACTCCTGGGACTAGATAACTCAAGATGTGTGTATGTGTGTGTGTGTCTGTGTGGGGGGTGTCTCTCGACTGTGAGGCTCCGGAATGTGCATGTTTACAACTAGGATCACCCTCCTATCTGCCCAGTGTCTGCTGCAGACACAGGCACCAGGGGACTGTGGCCCTATCTCAATTTAGATCAAGGTGTGTGTGTGTGTGGGGGGAGGTGTGAGACAAGGCACTGGGGTGGAGATGGTCAGGCTTCTCACCCCTGTCAGCCTGTCCCTGATCTACCTGCTTTGGCTTCTTCATCACTTGGGACCACATCCGAAGAGGACTGCCAGGTGCTGTCCTGGCTGAGGTGGGGGCAGCTCCACAGAAGGATCTTGGCAACCCTGTGCCAGAGCCAAGGTAATGCTGTGAAGGTGAAATTCAAACCCAAGCCAAAACCATGTCCTCAAGCAAATGTCCCTTACAGGAGCTATGCCCTGGACCTCCCCTTAGCCTGTGCCTGTTGGGGCTGCAGGACAGCAGCAGCTTCAGGGCAGCCAGCCACATAGCACTGATTTTTGTGTCTGTCGGTTTGACCTGGCTTTGGAATTCTCATGTAGCACAAACACATGCCAGAGATCTCTGGTGACTAAGGAGGGGGCTAACATACCCAGCTAAATCTCTACACTGTGGAGGTGCTGCCCTCCAGCAGGCCGCTTCCTTCTAGGCAAGTACATGTGGCTGGTGAGGGGGCCAAAGGACATAAAATCACAGGGGTCAAGGGATGTGCCTCCCTGTGTGGGTGGTATTCAGGAAAACCAGCCTGTGGGCAGGGGGTTGGCAAGGCTGGATGGCTCTTCATCACTCTCCCTTCCTCCCACACTCAGGAGGCTTCAGTGCCATAACAGCCTTGGCACTCTGAGAAAGCCCCTTCCAGGATACCCAGAAGAAGGCCATCTTCTCTGGGAAACATTCTGAGTACCAAATTTAGGCTTCAGGGGACTCTTGGGGACAAGGGGAGGCACATAGCACCAGGCCAGCATTGGCCTAGCACAGAGTACCACATGGGTTTGGCACAAGTTGTGACCTCTGTCCGGTGAGACAGAGGGCCTGGCTCACACTGATGCTTCCTGGAGAGCCAGGTGTGAGATGTCAGGCAAAGCAGACCTCTGTCTTTCTTGGGACGTCCTCGGTCTGGGCTTCTGGGAGACACGGAGTCCATTCCCTGGGGATTGTGTAAGCTGAGCTCACTGCTTCCCTTGGCAGGCATGCAGTCAGGAGCTGCAGGCTATGCTGTGTGTGGGCAAAGGAGGGTGACACGGGCTCTGGAGACGGAAGACCATGGCAGATACAGTGGTGGTCAGATGTGTGGGAAGCACCTTTGCAAGGGGACATTTGTCTCATGGCTGTGTGATGGCTTTTGTTAGAATGTCCACAGGGAAGCAGGTGGGCTTCCTGCAGGAGAGGAAGCTGCCAGAATGGGAGCAGTCCCTGGTCACCTTTCTTCTGGTTAAACTGGGGTCTCTCTGCCCCAGGAGGACAGACAGACCCTCTGCTTTCCTTGGGATACATGCTTTCAGTAGCAACTGGGTGACAGTCGGGGCGCCCAACACAAGACAAAGGAGTATGGAGAGCCCTGGGTGGTGCTGCTGCTCAGGGGGGCCACATGCGGGGAGCCTGGCTCAAGCCTAGAATCTGTGCAGCACCCCTGGGGTGACCAGGGCTAGCCTGGGAAGAGGATGCTTTCTCCTTCAGGAGGCTCGAGGCCTGCAAAGCATGAAGTCCCGGACAGGCCCAGGGTCAGCCCATGTCCACCTGTCCTCACATGTCCACCAGTGCCACCAAGGTGTTTTTCCAGCCAGTGGGTCCAGGGCCTGCAGATTCACACCACCGCAGTGCTCACATCCACCCCTTTGTTGCTCTGGGCAGAGCTCATGGGGTACTCAGCAACACTGGTGCCATTTTCATCTTTTCTCAGCGGTTTCCTAGAAAGGATTAAGGAGGGGGAGCAAAGAAGCCATTAGTTCCCAGAAACTGTAATGGTGTAACCTCCCAGCCAGAGTCCAGGTTAGACCTCTGTGGGGTCAATCAGAAGCTATGTAGACTCTTACTAGGGTGACTGTATAAATGTATAACCTAGTGTGCAAGCCAGGGCCTATTGAGAAGGAAAGGGGACAGGGGCAACAAGTCTGAATTGGAACTCCTCTGGATAAACCAAAATGTGTGGCCAGCCTAGTATAATCAAGCTCTGATTGATCCCTTTGGGGCTGTTGGTTCACAGGGAGTGGCGTTAGTGACTGGCTTTTGCATCCTGCCTCTGTACAATCAAAATCATGGCAAATGTGATGAATGAGTGGTGAGGGTAGCGGAGGCATTCATTAGTAATGCCAGCTGGCGATGGTGGTGATGGCACAGGTGCTGCTGCTGCTGCTGCGTGCTGGTTGTCATGGTGATAAGCATGGTAGAGGAGGGGTCAGCGATGGTGGAAGAGATGATGGTGGTAGTTGGAGATGCTGGTGGCGACAGGAGAGGGTGTGACGCTGATGGTTAGTGTGATAATGATGGTGAAGGGGGTGGTGGAGGTTTTGGAGGCTGTGATAGTGGTGATAACGTAGAGACGGTGGAGATGGTAATGATGGTGTGATTGTGGTGATGGTTATGGCAATGGTGATGATGAGCTAGTATGCACTGCCTGGTACAAGAAAGAGGGAACGTGAGTAGACTTGACTTTAGTGTGTCATGCGGGAAGTCCTGATGACGCCACTGACCGTCTCCCTGTGCCGCGCCCCACCCCCCCCCAAACCCTTTGCTGAGATTATGCAGGTTCCATTCAAAGGTCTTTGAGTCAGTCGCAAAATATCATTCCTGGACAGTGGATCTTTAAAAGTTTCACTGAACCATCTGAAGCTCATTTCAGAGGCTTCTGAGCCCAAGATCCATTTCTCGTATACGAGGGATGAAGACGGTGAGGAGGGAGGCACTGAAAAGGGTCTAGCCCCCTTGCTGGGTGTGTAAAACCTCAGTGTTACTTCTTGGCCTGGCTGAAGTCCTTGTTCCTCAGGTCTCTGGCATCCTTCTGGGCTGGGCTGTACAATCTGTGTTTCCCACCGCTATACAGCTGTCTCTTAGGTGGAGATGATTTCAGAGGTACCCAGGATGAGTGGCTCTTGCTAGGTATTATCTAAACTAGACGCTTACAGTCATCTTCGAAAGCTCGGGGATTGATGGCTTTTACCTTCACAAGCATCCTCAGAGTCTCTGCTAAGGACAGGTATAGTATTTTGTGACTGGTTCAAAGACCTTTGGATGGACTCTGTTTGCACAATCTCAGCAAGAGGGTGGGGGGGGAGGCAGGGAGATGGTCAGTGGAGTCACAGGATGATCAGGACTTCTCACAGGACACTCTAAGGCCCAGTCTATTCGCGTTTCCCTCTTTCTTGTAGCAGGCGTTGTTCACAGATGAAATCACCCCAGTTGGCTGAGCCTGGCCACGGTGGCTTTTAGGAAGGCAAGATCAAATCCCACACATCCTCCTCTGTAGGGTATGTCATGCTTTGCACAGAGTCCTCTCAGGTAGAGAGATCTTTGTCCCTCTTCAGGCCCCTGGAAGAAGCTAGGCTGGAGTTAAGAGTCATTTCATGGGCAGAGGGCAGAACACTGAAGCTGAGCGAAAGCTTTGATTTGCCAAGAGCCCCCGCTTCATGGCAGTAGGACCTGGACTGCCATCTTTGGCTGTCCCCTTAGGTCCCCAGCAGGCATTTTCCTAAGAACAGTCTCTGTCGTCCAGCTGCTTGGGAAGGCCTCCCTGCCCCTCCTCCCAGAGAGCCCTCAAAGTCTTACTGAGCCTTCTAAGAACTCTATCTCACCCAGCTTTAATCACAGGGCCCCATAGGTCCCAGATGTCAGTTCATGGTGGTGATGACATAAAGGGCCCTCATGATACTTGGCCTGTGTATCTTCTGGCACCAGAGCCAACACCCACTCTGTTCATTTCCCCATACTCTGGTCCTAGCTGTTCCCAAAACCTTCTGGGCTTCACTGGTGCCAGTGAAAGCTGAATTATCCCCAAAACAAAAGGTAGCTCTGCGACTCCATTCTCTCACCAAACACGGTACTCATGGGGGACGCTGGCCATGTTAAGGGGCAGAGGCCACAGCTTTTAGAACCTCAGTCTTCCAACCCTCTCGACCTGTGTGAACTCAGGAAATCTATGCAACTTCTCTGAGCCTCAGTTTCCTTTTCTATAAAATGGGCACAACAACAGCATCCCCCGTACAGGTTTGTTGGAAGGATTAAACACATTAGTGCACATCAAGCATGTGGGTGAGTGGCTAGCATACAGTAAGCGCTCTGTAAGTATCCGTTAGCTCTCAGCGCTGCTGTCAGAGAGGTATCACGGAAGCCGTTTGACTGGCCAGCAGTGGCCATCATACCGTCTCCAGTCTGCCCAGACTTCCTACTTGGCATTCACCTTCTGAGGCTCTGGAAGAGCTAGCAGACATTGCTAGGTCTCCTCCTGATCCTCCAACCTGTGGGCCAGTCTGGGCTGGTCCCTCTAAGCAAAGCAGAGGCCACAGAGAACTCCTCTAAATGGCCTGGTTCCTAAAACCAAAAGAGAAGGAAAATGAGTGCCTCCATGTGGCCTGGTCTTGGGCAGAAGGGATGGCAGAAGGGGGTGGTAGTGGTCTTCCCATTTAAAGACCATCTGACTGCACCCACGAGGTGCTCTTGACCTCTGCTGAGGGCATCATGTGCAGGGCTCCAGCTACAGAGCCCAGAAGGACCTTTGTAGGAACGGCCTCCACTGGTGTCTCTTTGCCTGGGCTCTAGGGCTCTGCTGGCAATGAGATGACACTGTTACCCCCAATTACTGTTCTATTGAGGAGGGGTGGCTGAAGTACAGCTCGGAGCAGCCCATGGTGGAGGGAAAAGATGCATTCATCCTTCCTTCCTGCTCTCCAGCCTTCCACACCCACACACCCACACAGAGGCCACCGTGAGACTCCTCTAGGGAATACTGATTCTCCCAACCTTAAGCCCAAAGCCAGAAAAAGCTTCCTCCAGCCACCAAGGTGTACCTAAGCGAAGCAGATGGTACGTGGTATCTCTCCCTCCACACCCAGGTGAAGGTGAGTCATGAACCTGTACTGGATAGAGCCTTTCCAAGTGAGGATGATGAAGAAAGTACTGCCGAGCCCCACATGGAGCTCCCGACAGAGAACTCCCATGATATCTCAGGCTCTCGCAGTGCTCTCTAAACCCCTGAGATTCCACAGGATAGGGGGTAGATATCATTTGCGGGAGGGGCTGTGGGGCAGAGGTGGCCCATGTGTCACCTGACCCACTGAGAGTCTGGGCGTCTGCTTTTCTGAGGTTCCAGACATCAGAATAGACAGCTACAAAACAAAAACGTGTGTCCTTGGAAGCAGCCCCTATCTATTTTACTCGGGCACCAGGCACACACAAACCCCTTGTTCTTCCTAGGAACTAGTTCCCAAGGTGATCTTGGCAGCCCAGGAAGGATTGTCCTGGGTTTCCTGAAGTCCTTCCCAGCTTGGGCTCCCTGTGTTCACTGGAGACTGAGGCAGGGGAATGGAAAGCTTCAGGCTAGCCTGCACTACACCGTGAGACCTTGCCTCAAAAATATTGTTATCTATTGAACCTACAATTTCAAGGAGTAATTGGACTAATGAGGTGGCGAAGAGGGGAAGATGGAGTTGAACGTGGCAAGATCCAAGCCCAAAAGCTGTGTGTAAGGCCAGATGACCCGCAGCCCACTGGGACAAAAGGACAAGACAAACTTGACCATGTCCAACCTTGTCGGCTCCAGGATAAGTCACCTCCGAGGCTCAGTCGAGGGTGGCATCTGCACAGTCACCCCAAGGTACACAAGGAACAGCCCACACTCTAATTCTGAAAGTCCCACAAGGCTCAGGGCTCAACTGTTATTGACTAGAACTGGGATTCAGCACGACCTCTCTGAGTACCCACGGCAGGCAGTTGTTCCCAGGCCTGGGGACCATCAGCCTTCCTGCCTGGTATCAGGGGCATAGCTTATGGCAAAATAATCCTTATCATCCAAACATTACTTGTCTCTGTTAGAGGAGCCAGCACATAGTAAGTATTCATAAGTTTAGCAATGGGAGACTCCATCCACTCTGGCGTCCAAAGCCAGGACTGTGCCCAGAGTTCCTGGGTCTCAGGGACTCTGAACCTGTAGGTCCACCTGTCCTTCTGATCTCAGCAGGGCACAGACATCAGATCTCTATAGTCCCTCCTTCCCGATCCCCAGGAAGGGCCGGCAGGAGCGTGGAGGCTCATCTTCAACTCAGCTTTAGTTGTGCACCCCAACATGGCGAGGGTTGGGCTTTGGCACCACACAACTTTGGACTCAAACTCTGGTACCAAGGCAGCTTCCTGACTCCTTGGAGACTCAGTTTCCTAATCTGAAAAATTCGGCACACTCGGGGAAGGTGGGAGATGGACTGGGGACACAGGGCAGAGAGATGAACCTAAAGCTTAGTGACAAGCCGAGGTGTCCAATCAGTTCCTGGGGACTCAGCATTGGTTTGTTTGTGACAGTCATCCTGTGATCTGAGTTCTAGGAGCAAACCCCAGCCCCCGGGGATGAGCATGCCCAGGTCTGTGAAGCAGTTCATGTCTTCCCTCTCTCCTGCCTAGGTGTCCCAGCCCACCCCTTGAGGTCCATGCCTGAGTACCTGACCACACCCTCACCCTAATATTTTCTTTTGTAATTCTCTTTGTTTTTGAATTGTTAAAGTGAGGCTACACAGAAGAGTGGACTCAGAAGGAAAAAAATTAAATATTTGAGATGCTAACAATTATTCTACTACTAACTAAAAGTTACTAGAAGTAACTTTTGGAGCTTGGAGATTAGGGGCTAAAAAAAAAAACTTTCTCAGAAATATTATTAATGACTGTTACCCTTTGGTGTTTGGCAATGTTTCTTGCATGGTTTTTGTATTTTCTGAAGCAGACGTGTAAAACTTCCTAACACTGGGAAGGTTTGTGTGAGCTCAACTCTAAAATGTTAAAGATCCGAGAACAAAGAGGAAACCACTGTAGCCACTGCAGCAAATTCACAGCAAGCATTAAACCGTTAGGGATAGAGAGGTTCCCCTGCTCCTGACCCGTGACTGTGTCCATCTTTATCATTTTCAAAAGTGCCCCAGCAACTGAAGACATCCCAGCCCAGCAGGGCCCCGGCGGAGGGGCTCCACCTGGCATGGTGGCTGCACACTCACCTCTTTATGGCTTTGTAGCAGATGATGACCAACACAGTCAGAAACACGAGGGAGGCACAGAGGACTGCAGCGATGATCGCCAGCCCTGACCACCAGCTGTCCTCTGCAGGGCACGAGGTAGAGTTGGGAGCTAAAAGAGACCAGAGACCGAGCCTCTCTGAGCAAGTGAGCTGGGTCTGTGTGATGTTGACGAGGGAGCGGCGCTCAAAGCCCATCCATCACCCCAAGGAAGGCCCTCTGACCTTTTCTGCCTTCCCTACCCCCACCTCAGCGGGTGACATCATCCTTGGCCCCCAGCCAGTTCCCCCCCCCCCACCCCCCGTTCGGGGCCTCCATCCCGCCTTGGCAGCTCAGAGCAGGGGCTGAGCGCCTGGCTAAGCAGGCCTCCATCCTCCCAGGCATGAGGTAACTGACAGCAGGGTCGGGTTTAATTTCCCATGAAAAATAACAGAACATCTCATTCTCTCAGCTGAGGCATTAAATCCCGGGCCTCTGTGGTTGGGGGTGGGTTGGCCGGCTCGCAGGGGACTTAGGGGGAGAAGAAGAGGGAGGCTGTCCCCCTCCGTGTATTTCTGAACTGAGTTTCTTGTGAGAACTGCCTGGATTCGGCCCAGGTGAGGCTACCAGCAGCTTTTTTAGTTTGCACAGAAAGCGGTGTGACCATCACAGCTTCTGACACCTGACTCCACAAGGATCTCCTGTCCTCGCCCTACCCATGAGGAGCCCTTAGGGTAAGCCCGTTTCCTCATTGGTCTGGGCAGCTTTGCTGCACACCTGGAGTAGGTTCTCCAGAGACTGGGGGAAGGTGAGCCCCAGTCTCTCAAAGAGAGAGCCCGGGGCCCCATCCCAGAGGCCTGGGTATTACAGTGGTCTGGGGGAGGGGAGGGGAAAGAGGCACAGGAGCAGAGAGAGGGTGAGGGAGGAGAGGAACAGACAGATCACACCGACACACAGGGCTACATGAGTCATCGGTCATCAGTATACCTGAAGAGCTGCACAAGGCCAGGTATGTCCCTCCCCGCCCCCCAGCTCTGTCCCTGCAGCAGACAACAGAATGCATGGAGCCACAGGAAGATGCTCTAAGGACACATGGATGTGCCCAGGGGAGAGTCCCTCCTGTCAATACACCATCTGACAGATGTGACAAATGACTGTATCAGCAGGAGCCACACCCATTATTCCCAAGACTTTCAAAATATCCTTGAGTCTCTTCCTCAACAATGCCTAACCCGGGACAACCATCCTAGCAATTGATAAATAACACATAAGATTTATTTGTTTCTGGCATTCATATGAATTGGCTCGTGTGCCGGGCATTCGTTAGTTATTTATTTAGAGGTGTTGGGATTTACCCAGGTAGCTGGGAAGTTCAGTGGTTCTCTCTTTTGTTGATGAGTAGTATTCCTGGTGTGTGTATGTTGTGTGTATTTGTGCTACAACTGTTTGTCCATTTATCTGCTTATGGACTCCTAGGCTGTTTGCAGATTTTTGGTCGCTAGGAAAAGCTGCAACAAACACCTGTGAGGGAGTCTTTTGTATAGACATTGATGTTTCATATTCCTCTTGGGTAAACACATGTGTAGGATGGTCCTGTGCGGTCTGTGTGTGTGTGTGTGTGTGTGTGTGTGTGTGTGATCAGTATCATAAGCAAACCCCTAGATGACTTTCCCAGATACTCACACTCTGGTACTCTCCAAGAAGGATGAGCAGAAATAGAAAGAAGGGGGTGAGCACATCCTGGGGACCAGGAAGACATCCTATGACTCCCAAAGGATTGGGGATGTCCATTAACAAATGTACAGTCCCGAGAGTGGACCTCGGCTCCTCAGAGATCCTGAGAAGCACCAAAGACACTCTGGGTGCAATGCTGAGACAAAGACACTACCAGGCCGCTGTCCACTGGAAAGAACTGGTCTTAGGTGTCAGTCCCTGCACAGACCCTGAACGGGCCGGGAGAGCCAGCGGGATGCTCAGGTTTCATGTTCCCATCCATGAACTCACTCAGTGATTTTGTTGATAAATATCCAACCTCAAATCTCCCCCTTTGAGAGCCTCCTTGACTTGGTGGAATCTTTCTGGGGGTGATCTGGTGTAGCCCAAAGCAAAGGTTTGCACCTCCTTTTCACGGAGGACAAAGCTCTTTCTACTTCCGTGACTCTTTCCTAGGCTCTGACCTGTTTAGGGGCATGTTCCCAGGGTCATCCCCCCCAGCATGGGGCAGCTGCAGTCTTCCTGTGTGTAGTTGCAGTGAGTAGCTACCCCTCAGTCTAATGTTTCAGGGCATTTGGGAACACAGGAAGGGGAAGGTGCTCCATTCTGTAACCACAGAGAAAGATTCCATCCGCTAGGGATGTTCACAGTGAACCAGATACACCTAAGTTAGAATTTCCCCTCAAAGGTGCCAGCAAGGCCCTCCTTAGAGATTTTAGGCCTCCTTAGAGGTTTTAGGCCTCAGTCTGGAATCTGGCAGGGCCTCCTTTCCTTACACTCTGCTAGCAGGGTGGAGGCAGCTAGCTCTGGTTGTGTGTCCTTCTGTCTGAGACCCTGTGGGACTCAGCAGGTGCGGATGAACCCCTCTTGTGTGGAAGGAATCAACCCAAGGCAGAAAGACTGCACCCGTGAAGAGGAGGTATTTCAAGAGATTGGGTTGAGGCGTAAATCATGGATTTTGTTCACAAAACCAGAGATAGATTCGAAGATGGCGTTCGGATTTATCCTTGCTGGAGTTGATTAGAAAATGCCAGCGCTGGAGGAAGCCTGGGTGCTGTCATTTCAGGAAAGAGAATTAACACTGGACTAACTTATCTGAGGGCTAGAGTGGAGACCTGAAGATCTTGGAGCTGCCCACCAGCCTAGCACTGCCTCAGTTTCCTTCAGTCTGTGATGATGATAAAATCTCACCGTGTGGGCAGCCTAAAGGATAGTATTCAGAGACAGCTTCCTGAGAGGTCTCATTCGTGCATGTATGCATGCATGCATTTCCTTGGACATGAACTGAGCATGTACTGAGCATGCTCAGGGCCCACTGCTAGGAGCTGGGGGTAGAGAGATGAATCAGACACAAACCATCCTCAGCTGGACCTGGCGCCAGCTGCCCAGGGATGAATATGAAGCTGACTAAGACCTGATCTTCTTGCAGGAAGAACCAGCAATCTCCGAATGATGCGACAAGCACTGATTGCCAATATGCAAAGGAAGGGCGACCTGCTCACTGAGATGGCAATCCTGGGTGACAGGCAGGTGGCCAGACAAGGGAGTGTCAAGCACCAGGAAAGAGCTGCCTCCATGTCTCTGCTGTTTCTGTCACTCTCTTTAAACGTGACAGAAAGGCAAGAGCTGTACTGAGACCTCAGGGGTCGTGTCACCGCTTCCTGGGCCTCAGTGAAGTTGACGTGTTGGTCAACTTTCCTGACCCTGTGGGGATGATGAGACAGGCAGACCAGGAGGGCGCTGGAGGAGGGCGCTGGAGAAGGGCCCAGGCTCCAGTCTGCTGTGTCAAGGGAGTCTCATTCTTTTTAGTCAGCCCATGCTGCACAAGGGCTGGGAACGAGTACGAAGCCTGGTCTGGGTCCTGGACACCATGGTTAAAAGCTTTGGAACTTCTTCTTCCAGGCAACAAGGGTTAATGGAGTGGATTGGGCTGACTTTCCTGAAACATCCAGAACATTTCAGATTCATGAAACAATGGGCAATGGCAACAAGACAGTGGTCCTCAAGTAACTTAAGACTCAGAGGTCTGAAGCCATTAGAGGAAAATACTTGAGGATGTAGACACAGGCCAGGATTTTCTGAAAAGGACTTGGAGCCCAGGAAATAACCCCAAGAGCTGCCTGTGGAGACTGCATGCCATTAAGAATCTTCTGCACAGCAAAGGAAACAATCATCAGAGAAAAGAGATAGCCTGCTAAAAAATCTTTGCCAACTACACATCAGATGGGATTAATATCTAGATTATATAAAGAGCTGAAGAAAATAGATAGACAAACCACCCAATCAATAAACAGGCCAGAGAGCTAATGGAGAGTTCCGAAAAGGAACACAGTGGTCCATAAATTCTTAAAAAGGTGCCAACACAGGAAATGGAAATAAAAATTACTCTGAGATTCCTTCTCATACCTGTCTGAAGGGTCATCACCAAGAGAACAAATGACAGCGAATTCCAGTGAGGATGTGGGGACACAGGAACCTTGTTCCTGCAGGTGGGCGCATAAGTGGCTACAGCCACTATGGGACTCAGAAAGGAGGGTTCTCAGCAACCTGACTAGAAATACCATGTAACTCAGCTGTATCACTGGGTACATGTCTGAAGGAGTCTAACTCCTGCCACAAACATACTTACACATCCATGTTCAGTAGCTAAGGCATGGAACAAGATGAGATGTCCTTCAACAGGTGAACAGATAAAGAAAATGTGATCCACAGAAACAGGAGGATCTCTGTGAGTTTGAGGCCAGCCTGGTCTACAAAGAGAGTCCAGGACAGCCAAGGCTACACAGAGAAACCCTGTCTCAAACAAAGCAAAGCAAAACAAAACAAAAACAAAAAAATGTGGTCCATATACACAACTTTTTTTCAGTTGTAAAGAAAGATGAAATGGTTATATCTGAGGGGAAAAATAAAAGGATGAAACCAGAGATTGTTAAGTGAAACAAACCAGATTTAGAAATACAAACACTGCTTTCTCTTAGATGAACAATTAGGATTTAAATGTGGGGGGAACACACATGCAAACACACAGGCATGAGTGTAGTCAAGTAGAGAGAGAGGATCAGGGAAGGAGAGGGAAAGATCCATTCTAAGGGAGGCGCTGGGGAAAGGGAGAAGACAGTCAAATACGTGTGACGTGAAAGCCGAAAGGAAGTCTGTTTGGGGCAGAAAGAGGATGAAAAGAGTGCAGGGAGGTAGAAAGGCAGGAATGAGAACATTGTATAATGGTATAGATGTACGACAAGGCTTCACTGAAGCCTACTACTTTCTATGTTAACTGAAAATGACTGATTATGATGGTGGTGGCAACGAAGGTGATGATGATGATGGACAGTGAGCCCCAGCTTTCTACCCTAAGGAATTTCTAGAGCAGTGTAGGCGGGAGGAATCCAGGCAGTGACCAGGATAGAGGTAGTCCCTGCC